ACCTGGGTCAGGGCCTTAGATCCTGCAGAACTCATGGGCATTGTTGGGTATATCCCTTGAGGAAAAACCAGGACCCTGCCCCAAGGCTGCACTATTGTTTCTTGACAGTTCCTGCCCGTACATTCTCTCCTTTCCCTGATTAGCAACTGTTTGAATCTGCCGTTTGGAACACAGGGAAGGTCAGGGAGGCTGAATGAAGCGTATTTCCTACAAACAAGGAAAGGGGGGCACAGAAAATATTTGTACCAGGGAGGAACCCCAGAGTCCTCTGTTTCCTTTTGAGGCAACCACTTCTAAGAGGTCACAGCTGTAGATGAGAGGTGGTGGCCTACAGTAGTGGCAGTGGGTATGGGAGAGAAGTGCACTGGTCAAAAAGATATTTAAAAATTGACAAGACTTTTGGAGTAGATAAGGGATTTCAGTCAAAGGTATCAAATGATGATACTAAGTTCCAGGCCTAAGTGAGTAAATAATAGAGACCAAAACCAAACTATTTTGACGTTTGCTAGGGGTCCTTTATCCCTTAGTGTAAAAACCACAAACATTTTTTTCCTCCCTGATTATATGTATGCATTTCTTTGTGTGTGCTCTGCTGGGTAGAGCAGCAGGCCGATGTTGTGAGTGGTAAAAGAATTTACCAAAGACAAAGGAAAATTTAAGAAACAAAGGAAAAGTTTAAAAGTATGTAAGTTTTAAAAGCTGAAGCTCTAAACTGTTCTTAGTACCTATATGTGAATGAACAGTACATATATGTAGATTTTAAAATGGTTTTATCTCAGTGAGTTGCTGTTCCTGGAATAAACATTGTTTACATACATACATACATACATACATACATACATACATACATACATACATAAATGAAAAGTTTAATAGATACACTGCTACAGGCAGCAGCGGGCCACACAGACTAGAGGTGCCTGTGTGAACACCCAGGGTGGGCTGCTGAGGTCTTTTATGGGAAGGCGTTGGTGAACAGAGAGGGCTGGGCTGCGTGATCAGCTCATGCACAGGTTTTTGATTGGTTATGGGTGAGGGTCCATGAAGAGCCAATAAGGAGGAACCATGGGCAGAGACAAGTCAGCCTGCGCTATTATGAGGCTAGCCATTTCCCAGGACTATTGATTCTGCTATGGGAAACACATGTCAGAAAAGGGTGCACTTTGGTTTTTTTTTCCTGAGGGTTTGCAGGTGGACATCTGAGAGCCCAAGAGTGGGGGTCTCAGGGCCTTGGCGGACATCAGTTGGCACC